TTGCTTGAATTTTCTCTAGCCCAACTGCTTCGACCCATCCAGAAAGATCATCTCTAGCAACTACTAGGTATTTCCATCTGCCTGCTTTTATATGGAGTGTATCTAAGCTGACTCGACTGAATAACACAGATCTTCCTGTTGCGTGCCTTTCTTCCATTGGTAGTGTTGAACTTCGCTTCTGACAAGGCTCGCAGGATCTGACCCAGTTTCTTACAACTCTCTTCAAGTGAGGCCACCAGAACCGTAAATTGACTCTTCGATACGTTTCTTCTGTTCCTCGATGTCCTAGACTTTCATGGAGTTCTTGTAAGATTTTCTTTTGTATTGATGGCACCGAGATTACTACTTGCGAATATGGCTGGCTCTTTTTGTGTAAAACACCGTTTGAAATGAAGAAAAAGAAAGATTTTTGTTTAATTTGCTTGAATTCTTCTGCACTAATACCTGGGGGTCTATTCATTGTTGATAAATAATATTCTAAATTTTTCCAGAATCCTTCTTGCAGGTTCACAACCTCCTCCCCCAACTTAGCTTTTGTCCCCAACAGTCGTACGGAGAAAGCTGCCTTCGTTCCAAATCCTGGGTGCGGTCTCATTGATTCCTTGTCCTCGTCAAAGCTGGGACTGTCTTCTTCATCCGGATCTGGCGGTCTTCTGGATAATCCGTCTGGCATCGTGAAACTCTTAGCCAAAACATGTATTAGATCAAATGAAAATAGTTGAATAAAGGCAATCCATTGGTTCATTGGTGCATTAGGTAAGGAGGGGTTGTTGATCATGCCAATAAGACATTTTGCATCCACTCTCAATTCAAAGTGCTGACCCCATAAAACAGTTTGTAATTTTTTTAGAACTTTAGTTACACCGCATAATTCTAGTTTTGATTGTGAATAGCTTGATTCTTGCCGTGAGAAAACCACAGATTCATAGAGAACCGGTCTATCCATGCCTTTCGAATCTTCTTGACTGAGTACGGCCCCTGCGGCAATTTTACTTGAATCAACAGATAATCTGATTTTTCCTGCGTTTTCACCGTAATCCAATTTCTTTAATGTGATGTCCACGCCTACAATCATCTTGAGTTGTTCAAAGGATTTTTGACAGTCCTCTGTCCAGTCCCATTTAGCGTCTCTCCACGTAAGTCTTCTGAGAGGAGCGGCTATATTAGAAAAATCTTTGATGAACATTCGGACGTAAACGCAAACACCCAAGAAACCTCTGACGTCGGTTGGATTTTGTGGAGTTGGCCAAGTTTCGATTTTATTCAACTTCTTCTTTGACACTCTTCTACCTTCTTTGCAAACTACGTGACCAACCAAATCTAATGCTGGAACGCAACATGCAAATTTCTTTGCAGAAATAGTGAGTCCTGCCTCTTCAATTCTAAATGAAATTCTCTCCAGCGTGATAGCATATTCGTAGATAAATTTGCGAATTCCAGGATTCTCCTTCAGTGTCTCTCCTCCGTAGTCAGATTCCGGACCTTTTATTCCTCCGTCATCGATGAATATTCCTACACATCATCCCTGACATGATTTCCCAGATGGGAAATCCTGTAAATTTTAGGGAAATCCTGTAAAAAAAGTTAAAGATATTTCCAGATTTTTTAAAGTTTTCTAAATTTTTTAGATTTTTCAGATTTTTTAGGTTTTTTCAGATTTTTCAGATTTTTCTAGATTTTTTAGATTTTTCTAAATTTATTAGATTTTTCCAGATTTTTTTGCAAGAGACATCTATAAAATTGAAAAAATTAACAAGTCCAAACAAGGGGATTAATAAACATACCCCCCTTTTCTGCTATCCACACCCGGTTTTTCACACCTGATTTTCTGCTTCTACACCTGGTTTTCCCCAGCCTTTTTAATTCAATTTTTGGCAATTCTGAATATGCTCAAAATCTTCTAAAATTGATCATTCTTTTTGGGTATATAAAAAATCCTCAAAAGAGAAATTTTAATTTAACTGATGCATCAAGTTTTTTTTTCTGCCTATGAGTTTTTGAGAATTCAAAGTACATTTAAATTTATCATTGATATTCCCCAATCTTTGGGAAATCTATAAAGGACCAAATTTGATTTCATTTTGGAAATCCCAATGTTGTTGGTTCTGAGCTATAAGCAAATGGACAAAATAAGGAATATCTTGAATGGTACCATCTGTATGGAGAAGGTAAATTAAAAACCTGACAATTAAAGAGTAAGTTTTGGATTTAATTCAAGTTTTCACATTATAGGGTCAAAAAAAATTGGGAAAAAGTGGGGGAGAAAAATAAAAAATTGAAGTTCTCTTTTGTGGATTTTTCATATGCCCAAAAAGAATGATCAATTTTAGAAGATTTTTAGAATATTCAGAATTTTCAAAAAATGAATTACGAAAGCTGGGAAAAACCAGGTGTAGAAGCAGAAAACCAGGTGTGAAAAACCGGGTGTGGATAGCAGAAAAGGGGGGTACGTTTATTAATCCCCCCAACGGTGGGCCAGTTACACTAACCGTAGTGTTAGCTTTTTAAGCTACACTACACAAAATTTACTGTTGGTGGGAAATTTTGGCCCACTAACACTACAGGATTTTTGAAAAAACAAAAAAAACATTAGCATAGTGTTAGCTACCTTTAAAAGGGCACAACTAACACTACCCAAAATCCTGTTAGTGAAATTTTAGAAGTGTTAGTGGGTTCACCCACTACACTACATGTTAGTGTAACTTTTCCCAAAGTTACACTAACAGTTAGTGTAGTGGTACCCTCAGTTACACTAACTGTTAGCGTAACTGGTGAAAAAGTTACACTAACTGTTAGCGTAACTGGTGAAAAAGTTACACTAACTGTTAGCGTAACTGATTAAAAGTTACATGACCACATGACTAGCATTAGTCTACCCTGAAGACAGTGCCTGATTGGGGGGCCTACATCCAGATCCGCTCAATTGATCATCATGTTTTTTTTCAGTTGGTAATGGGGGCCACTCAATTTTATCCCCCTGCCAATTATTAACACTTACTGGTAAGACCACATTCCCCTGTCAGACTACCTTGAGATTATGGGTTCAATTCCCCCTCAGATCATACTTTACTGGGTTCCATTCCCACACTTGTTCAATTTCCACTTTCACATCATGTAGCAAGGGGGGGGGGGGGGTGTCAGCCTGAGTGATGCCAAGAGCTGGTCTCTTCTAGCTACACCAGGTGAAAACTAAGAAAATTATATGTACAAGTGTGGGTAACACTTGGAAAGGGGAGTTTTTAATATTAAGAAAAGAGGAAATAAAAACTGTTAAGTTTTTATAAAGGGAGGGGCCTGAGTTACAGGGGTTTTTATGGTGCCCTCCAATGAATCAGGACCTGTTAAACAGGGGTATTTTTGATGTACCTGATGGTCTGGTCCTTTGTGTAAAGGAGTATGCCCATACAAAATGCCTACAACTGAAGTATCAAGGAAATATTACCTACTTAGTACTATTTCCAAGCCAAGGGGACTTCAGGTGGGTGAAAACTGGTCTGGGAGCGCTCAGAAATCTTGTTAACAGTTGTTGGAAGAGTTATGGGGAACAGTTGATGGTTGTGTTGGTGATATCCAAGACAGAAACAGCAGGAACTGGGCTAAAAACAGGTGAAAAACTGGTTGTTGGAGGTGGTTATTGCTGGTAAGTGGTAATGAAGATGGGGAATCAGAGTTTGGGGGCAAGAAGGGCTCGTTATCTACTAATTCTGGGCCCTTGGGAGGCGAACTCAGAACTCTGTTTCGCTGGCGCAAGCCTCCTACTAGGCATTGGTGACCTGTAGTGCTGCCTAGACACCTGTAGTCCTTGGTTACAGGTGCCAGAGCGCTGAAGTGAGGCTTGTAACAAACACTGAGAGGTGCTGTGACAAAACAGAAGCCATGGTCTGGTCACTGAGACCCTTTAATGACCAGTGGGCTGGTCTTAACCAGCCGTAGTTAGCCAAATTGGGCCACAAATGGCTTTTAACCAGCCCGTTACAGTTGTTGTAACAATGTAGTTAAGGTTTCAATGATTTCAACCTTATTTGTGGATTTTTTCCGAACTTCATGAACCTTAATTACATGTGTAGACCTGTTACAACATGTAGTATGATGTAACTGGGAGGGTTTCTAGCAAAATGAACAAGTGTCACTCATAGTACACAGAAGTGCATGAAGGAGTAATAATTAAGGGGTACCTTTGGTGAGGTACCCTAGGTTATTTTGCATGAGAATTAAGAATCTGAAATAATATTCTACCTTTTGCTTAAGGTTCAGAAGTTATTTGTAGATTCATGTTAAAAATGTTTATTTATAAGTGTTTTTGGTTTATTTTTATGTTTTCTTTCATGACTAGTAAAACTTAATGTAATGAGTAATAATGTCTCTTTTATAGTGATTCCACTTATTTAAATATTAATATTTTTATATGTACATATGTAATAATGTCTCTATCTTATCAACATATAAAATAGACATTGATTACATATGCTATGGGGGTAGTATGTGTAATAATGCCTCTAAATATTTAATATGCTATGGTCAGGTTGTCTCTGAGTAGTAGCAGGCTGACAGGGGGGGTTGATGTGTAACCATGATGTATCACCAGAGTCAACGGTGCAACTACTACGCTAAACTAATTTAGCCCCCCTAATAACGTAGCCTAATTCTCTGGAGAATGAGTGTTAGCGTTAACGTCCAGAGCTAGATCTAGCAAGTAGCTTAGTGGCGCCTCCACTACAGAATTTTCCTCCCCTATTTAGTTTAACGGGTTCTACATTGCTAAAGCTACAATTACCTGTATTTTAGCGCCACAAATGCTACAAACACTATTACCATAGCTATATTGCAGCCAGTTTTATAAATGTTAATAGACCCACCATTATTTAGTGCAGCAAAAGATCATGATGAGACTCCGGGATCACTTGATTGGGCTCTTGAGTGCAGGAGGGCAGAAGTTATATCCCAGAGCTGATCTTACCCCCTAATCTCACATTCAAGTTCCCTCATCATCAGTTATCACCATGGGTCAGAGTTCAGATTGTCAGTCAACCCCACCCAACCAGGTGGAAACCACCGGCCCTCATCAATCTACCCAACTTTGTACTCCTCTTGCTTGTCCAGGATTTATCCAACATCATCCTGATTCACAAAGAGCTGTGCAAGTTGAATTGGAACAGAGCTCTCTGATCAGTGAACCCAATCAATCAAACAGACAGCCCAAGAGCAGGTACAAGGACCATCCGCACCTTCAAGCTGGAGGAAACACCTCATCAAGAACCGTGAGTATTTTTTTTGGTCTAGGTTTGTTATGTGATGATCCCATTTGGAGAATGAATTTCGGTCCTTTTATTTTATTCATGATCTAGTCTGGCGACATGACCACAGATGTGAATAGGTCAACTGAGTCTGGACCAGATCTGGATCTTGCCCAAGATTCTGACAAGGAGAATTCAAAAGCTGTGAAAGCCAAACCAAAGAACGTTAACGGTGGATTTGACAATCTAAAGCTTTATTTCTTTGATGGTGCACCAGCTCCAGGTCAGGTATGTTACTGTTCTCCTTCCTGCTCTCTCAATATGTCTTGTTTAATCTGTTACTGATGCCTTCTTTTCTGTAGGATAAAGGTCTGACCTACAAATGCCACTGGTGCCCTAAGTCGGGCCGAGTCCCATTATCCACCATCTCAAACCTTAAAACCCATCAAAATGGCTCAATGACCTGTACCGGGGTAAGCAAGGCTTGTCCAGGACAAAACAGTGTGATAAGCAATGGGGCCAACATTCCTCCAAGTGCTGATGAGGAGTCTGCTGCGCTTAAAAAGAAGAAGAATGCTTCTGGTACTCTGGTTGCATACGTTCACAAGGGCCAATTTGATGTCAAAACGTTCAATAAGCTAGTCTTATTTTGAATGATTTTCCAATTGCTCCCTTGGACTTGCATCGAAGATTTCCATCTTGGGGTAGCTTTTGACTATGGCAATGCAACTTCTGAGCTTTACTCTCGGACTTGGGCGGCTGTCTATGCTCGAAAATTCTATCTCAACCTTCAAGAATAGGTGTCAGCTATCAAGTAAGAACCGGCTACCTTGAGGGGTTGCTATTCCTAAAACAAGATAGTGATAAGTTTTGAGAAATCGAAGGCCGCTTCAGGTCCAGTGATTTGCTGATATAACTAGACCACAGGCTTCGTGCTCGGTAAAGTTCAGGGATCGGAGCAATATAACTAGAAGTAGCGGTCCTGGTAGTGAATCCTAGATTGACTTCAGGAACAAGAGGAATTGGATAAGGTTTGGATAAAGTTGTCTCTTCTTGGATTTCTGGGGAGCATCAAAGACAAGAGAGAAGAAACTTAGTATGTACAACTTGCATAACTCTATATAAGCATAAAAGATAAAATGAATATAAGAATAATAAATAGTGCAGTCTGTGTAGTAAATGGTACATTAACTTGTGAAAGGTATTGTGACATTTACTTGCAGGCTGAAAATAGGTGATAAAGGATATAAAGGTGAGTTAAGATAGACAACTTTTCATTCAATTTTGATTGAGGTCAGTTCTTTAACAAAGCAATTAAACTCATACATAATTGTTTTGAATTGTGTAGGCCTCGGGATCCAAAGTCAGTCTGTTTGCCGATGTGTGGACGACCAAAGGTAACCACAAAGTGTTCATTGGAATCTTGGTTTGCTACATCAACAATGACTGGCAGTACGTTGTGGTAACTATTCCTGTGTTTCTACACCAAAAATATAAAAACTTATTATTATCTTTCTAGATATTGAAGATAGGGTAAAAATAACATCAAAAATGGATTCCTGAGGTAAAATAACCCCTAGTCACTCACTACAACTACCCTCTTATCTCTACTAGTTCAGAAGTTACACTTATCTCAAGCTGTCACAGGAGCTTTTCTTTATTATTATCCTGACCATGTCTCATTTTGAATACTGGATGCATATTTCATATTGAATTCCTTTGTTTCATATTGAATTCCTTTACTGGCTTATATTTCATATTGAATTCCTTTGTAGGTGCACATGCATTCCTTTGTAGTAAGACCTTGTAGGCTAGCCAAAATCCCTCAAGGCAGTGCTCTCACCAGCCAAATTCCCTCACCTGCATGTACTAGACTAGCTAAATTCCCTCATTGGATTTTCAGGCCAGCTAAATTCCCTCAGCTGCATGTACCCTGGAGCTACAAATCCCTCACTTTTGTCTATATAAGGAGGCCTCTGCCGTACTTATCCAACTTACCCTAAGTCAACCTCTCTGACAACAATCCACCCTCCTTGGACTTCAATCCAACGCAACCAAGTTCCACCGGTTACGATTTTCATTCTTCACCGCTTTGATCTCACCGACTTCTCTGATCTTGTTACAAGTCGACCTCAACCTTGATTTCGTCTTTGCCCCATCTCACTTGTTGCCTCCTTCACCGGTACTCAAACGATCTAGGCATTTCAACCGACCAGTCCGCCAGATTGACTAGCCCAAAGCCACAGCTTTAATTCTCTAACCTGCGCTCTCCAATTCACTCAAAGAATTCTGGATTTCCCTCAAAAGCCCTCACTGGCACAGGCCATTTTTTTTCTTTTCCCTTCAATATGCACCAAGGATCCTACACAAACTCCATTAACCAATTAAAACACAACTATGAAGAACGAATCCAATACTTGGAGGAAGTCGTAGGCCTCCTGATAGCCAGAAGAGAACCCCCGTCGTTGCCGCCTACCTCCTCAGCTCCCTTGTGCGGCTCTTTCAGGTACTCGATCAGGCGAGGCCTGGAACCGGTCTTATCAATGACAGCAACATCATTACCTCCCCATTGGCGGATTGGAAGGCCAGTGAGGCAGAAACATGCTAGATCCCCGCCTCGTCGACAAGCCTTTGGTTTTACTTGCCAACCACTAAACCCGGAAACTTGCCCGTCCATCACCCAGAGTTCATCTTCGGACTCAGCTAAGTCGTTGTCACCGACTTCACTGCCAAAAAGCTTTCCGAAAAGCCGTACACCCTCGGCACCCTCATTTGTTCCGGATGCCAGCATTGGTGGACATTCACCTAAGCCTGCTAGTCAGACTGACCAGTCCCCCCACGGTCATCCGAGCAACATCGTCCCACCCGACCAAACAGATGTCTGGCCATTGTCCACTGCCGCCAAGGACCATGCCTCAATCACCATCACCACAGTACACCAGCCTAGTAACGCAATCGTTGTTGAATCTTGAAATCCCCTATTGATCTCATCTCCCGCTACTTCTCCCACCTCCGATACCAAACTCCAAGCTGCTGTAAACCCAATGGAGGTCTCAGCATCACCAACCGACTCGGGTGTTCCTCTCGGAACCGCCAAAACAGCCGCCGTTCTTGTTCATAGCGCTGAGACCCTGGCCTCGCCCACCGTCACCCAGTCTCCGTCTTCTGTTATTGCGATCGTCGCTGAATCCCCAGCTAGTACTTCTATTAATGCAGTCTCCGTTAGTGAGATCATTGTGACAACTGAAGATCCAACTTTGACCTCATCCTTGCTTGATCCTCTTACACAAGCTGCTACCTTGGACACCCTTGGTTCTAAGAACCATATCTTTGAAGCTTCACACCAAGCAGCCACCCAGATCAATCATCCAATTGGCATTGTCCCACCCACTGCATTATCATCTATCAATTCTATTTTGGACTCTACTACTTCCACCGCGACTTCTACCTCCTCAAACTACCTTGACTGCTCATCTCCTGTCTACCCAACTGCCGAAGTCTGCCCTGAAAACACTGAGGTAGCTGAAGCAGGATCCCTAGCCATTGAGAATGATGAGAGTGCTTCTATGGACTCCAAAATTGCCCCAGAATATTCACACACAACTCTAGAATACTACAACGACATCGACAACTACCTCAAACTCTCTGGTGTGAATGAAACTCAAATAAGAAGAAAAAAGAAGAAGAAGAAGAAGACCACCAATCACAACTCTGACTCGTGTATATCAGCACCACCTGTTGACATACCAATAGCTGCTGTGGGTTCCTTGACAGTAATGAGTGAAGAAGAACTGGCAGCCCTGGAAAGACAGAATGACCCCCGCTACCGCCCAATTGAAGATTCAGAGTTTGTACCGTTTGAAGACTGGTGATCAGAACCTCTCTTTATCCATCCTCAACAATATTAACAAACCAACTTCATCTGCTCTTTTCTAACAATTCCATTCCAACCAATCCCTCTGTCTACTCCCCATCCTCCATTTTTCTCTGTTCTTTCTTACCTCAAATTCTCTGACTGTCTCACTCTTCTCCATCTTTCATTTTGCTCCTCTCTACCATACTTCTAAGTTTCCTCCTCAAATGAACCACCACTCTCAAATTCTTCTCCACAATTTCAGGCCACCTTCTATCTTTTTTTCCTCATTTCTACTGTCCTGGTTACTGTTAAATTTTCTCCCTTCTTCATTTTCTTTTATAGGAGGGGAGACTGTAAGCCCTGCTCCTCATGACTTATACAAACATGTCACTAGATTACATAAGCTCAGTTCTGCATTGTATTTAGTCTCACCTTTCCCCTTCACCTAGACAGCAGAGATCCTTCTCTCCGGTCTAGGTGAGTACCCTGTCTTCCTTCCTTCTCTTCTCATTTCCTTTCCTTCTTTTCCTTCACTTGTAGATACTAATGAGAGATCCTTCTCTCCGGTCTAGACTTGAAATTCATCCCACTTTGGTACTAGAACTTCTCTCAGGAGCTATTGAGCCCCTTTGTTAGTGCCTCTTTGACGGACAGTGAAGGATCGGAACGCGATCCTTACAGCTCCATAACCAAATAAGTTTGCTTCCAAGTTCCAATTCGAATCTCTTCTGTTAAAAATAGTTTGAGCTAATTTTTATTTTCTTATCTACATCCATGCCTTAACTACTGATTCGGGGAGCAATAACTTCACAATGGCTAAGGAAATTGCAGCAATCATCCGACAGAAGAATGGAGACTTCAATCACTATATAGATAATAACCCTCAATGCTTCTGTCATGTTCTTGCCTTGATCTTAGGGGCCGGACTCAGGAGTCTCAAACTTCAAAACCAAATTCAACCACCTAAATCAAAACCAGATTTCTTCCCCAAACTCGAAACAATAGAACAAGTTGTTGAACCAGATGGCGTGTATGTGGATTTAACTGAAGACGTGGACGTTCAGCCTCAGGAAATCAATGATCTTGACGATAGAGACGAGGTTGATCCTGACGATGCATCAGAAGGCAAACTTTCTGAGGATGATCAAGAGAAAACACCAACTGATCCTACTGATAAAGCCTCCAAGAATGGATCTACAGCAGGCGGTATTGGTCATACTTTGGTCAAGGTATGTGAATTGATTGTGTTGTTGAGTCTTTATTTTGTCAAACTCACTGACCAAGCCAAAATCTCAGGTTGATTATATCAGTTGTCAAATCTGCTCATCAACAGCAAGACGGGCCAAATTCAAACTAGTTTCTCAGAATATTGGCTACAAAGGGCCACAGTTGATCCCTGGCTATGGAATCCGTTGGAATGTTGTGTACGACAGCTGGACACAAGCTTATGCTGCACAAAAGGTCATTGTCCAACTCCTGAACGATGAATCAGATAAATATGCCAGAAAGTCAGCCGCTGGTCATTTCTTCAAAGGATATGAGGTCTCCAACAAAGAGTGGCAAGACTTGAACTCCCTCAACCAAGTCTTAGAGGTATGTCATCTTCTTGCTTTTTGTCTCAGCTCCTGGTCCCTTTGCTAAAGCCTTAATTATTTGACAGGAGTTCCTTGCAAAAACCCTACGTATGGAAGGCAATGGCACTTCCTCCGCAATGGTGTTGTATGAATAATCTAGGCTGATCTTGTTTCTGGAAACAAGAAAGAAGTCAACCGAATTCTCTGTCCTTCTTCCAATGTTTGATCCCATGATCAAGGTTGCAAACAAGTATCTCAACCTTGCCTTGCGGTGTCATGCAATACTCCTTGCAACAATGTTTCACCCCGCTTGGAGGCTCTCATTGATTCGTGACAAATTTCCTGAACACTTTGAAATTTCCAAAGGGATCCTTACTCGTGCATTCCAAGCTAAACTTCACGATCATCAAAAGTCAAACCCACCTCCAAAAACTGATCTCTCTCATGGTGAGGATTCCAAAGATGAGGAATTCAATTATTATCCAGAGAAGAAAGGTACATCAGGAGATCAATGAACTCAAAAAGTATAAGGACAGAGCTTGGCCACTCAGTAAGAAAGCCGATCCCCTCTCATGGTGGAAGGTAAGTGCAGCAAGATTGGTTCACTTTTTTCTGCTCAGACCAAACTGACTGGCACACAATATTTCAGGCTCATGCATCTGAATTCCCTCAGCTTGCACTGGTCACTAGGGATGTATTGGCCTGCGCAGGAAGCTCAGTGACTGTTGAAAGAACATTTTCAGCTGCAGCAGATGTTTGTGCTCCAGTCTGGAGTAGCTTGGCCACCAAAACCATCAAACAATGTGTGAGTAGCCATATGTGGTTACAAAGCAGAATCAAGGCCGGTGGTGAGTTTGCTGATCCCCAGAGGGTGATTGATGCTGCCAAATCAAACAAGAAGTTTGCAACCCAACTTGCAAAGATTGACAACAGCTCAAAATGCCACAAGATTAAGCATGTGGCATCCAACAAAAATAAGTAAACCTACCTCCTCTTTGATTGTTGTGATTTGTCTTAGTTCCAATCAACTCTACAATGTTTTCCAACAATACTACACATGATTTCTCCACATCTCTTATTTCTCTCAAGTCTCTGTCTGCCAAAACTAAATGAATCTCAATTATGTACATACCTGTCTCTTTCCCACTTTATGACCCAGTGTCCATTTTTGCATCCATGTTGACTGGTGATGCAGTACAATCACCAACATCACTTTAGTGACTGTTTAGCAATCAGTTCCGCTAACCACTTGCTACAATAGGGTAGCGGCACTAATAATAGCTGCAGCAAAGTGAACCACCGCTAACTACCGCTACTCCCTAGCGATTAAAAACCTACTGAATTTTTCAAATCTCCATGTAGTTTTAGCTGCAGTACATAATATGTTACACTTTAACGCAGCGCAACGGAGCTAAAAAAACGCTAACTTAGGGTATTTTTTGCTAAACTTAACATAATATTTGCACCGTTTCCAGAGTGTGGTGGAGCTGTTGGCATGAACCATGGCAACTACCACCCAACTAACCTTACAACCACAAGGGTCTGTAGCCTAGTTGGTAAAGGAAGCCCTCTGGTACGTGACTCAGCATTGCTGAAGTTGTGAGTTCAAATCTGACCAGGCACATCCTCCGTTTGTTTGTCTCTACATCTTGTGCTGTTCATTTTCTGCGGGATTGTGTGTGATCATAGGACATTGACCTCAGCCGTATCAGTTATATGGACATTTTACACAACTTGTCCATTGAAAACAGAAAGCAGAGGAAGAGGGTTCAAGAGCATAAATTCTCACTTGACATGTCAATTTCTCTAATTGATGATTTACACTACACTACATGTGTACTTCTACAGTAGTGTAGTGTAACTAGGCATGTAGTGTAGTGTAGTGTAGTGTAGCTTAATTTGGTATAAGTTACACTCAATGTTAGCTTCAAATCAGTTACACTATCTGGCGGTCAAAATTTTGTTAGCACAAAAAAAGTTACACTAACTGTTATTTTAGCTGAGATTATTTGAAGCTAACACTACCAAAAAATTTGAGAGAAAAATTTACTTATAATTCTGCACAACCCCAATCTACACCACCCAATTGTGAATACGCAAGATTCCATCCTCATTGCCCAACCCACAAGCACACGTTCAACACATCTCATTTGACCATCTGGTATTCATTGCCCTTCCACAATAGTCTCTCCTCAACCGCTGTAAGTTGTGTTGATCTCTGTATTTCTCTCTCTCCATATACTTGTACTGACTTAATTATTAATTTGATGACTGTCTTGCTAGCATTGACCATTGTTGAGTTGCAGTGACTACTACTACCCCTTTTGGAGAAGCAACAGCAGTTGCAGATCCGCAACCAATATTGTCACTCCAATGAAGAAGCAATGCAACACACGCTCAATTCCATCTCTGCCCAGAATGACGCAAACCAAGGCCAGGAAAATGAAGAAGCCCTCATTCTGATCTGGGCCCTGGCTTACCTCGGAACATCAACACCAAAGAAGAAATCCAGTGGGGAAAAGATATGCAAACCTATAGACGGGAGTTTTTGAAGAAGTGGAGGGGCAAGGAAGGGATTGGATTTGTGGACAACTTGGTGACCGGGTTCATTGCCCCCTTGATCAAAGATTTTTGGTTTCATCTCCCATCTCTTTCTCTCTTCCAAGCAATTGTTGATCTTATCTTTGTTACTCGTTTCTTATTGACTGAATGGGATTTCATTTGATTTTTGAAATCAGCTCAACTGATGAAGAAGCAGAAGATCATGTTCTTTGCCTATGATTCCGATGATCTTATCCGCTGTGGTAGCTGAATGTGTAAAAATTCAAAGTTTTTTATTATTCTTTTTTATCCCTCTTTTTTCCTCTACATACACTCACAAATCACTCAATATGGCTCAAGAAATGGATTCTACACTCAATTCTACCCTTGGTCACCACTGGAGGCGTCACTGGAACTCAACTGGATTGGAAGTTACACCCTCTGGACTCTCACAACACTCACTTACACACCCCAACAACATGGAAACACTCAATCACCACCAACACATCAAAATTACATATCACACACTATACATATGCACATTGCAGGACAACTACACTCTCTCACCAGCATAGTACATAAGTATACACACCACCCCACCATCTTCTGACATATTGACACATGCAGTGTTAGTGTAGTACCACTCTGGATTTACAAGTGACATCATGCAGGCTGTCATGTCATTTGTTATTCTTCCTTGCAGCTGTCACACTATCTCACACCACTCATGTAATCTTCATCACCCCATCTCAGTTTGCAGACTAGTACAATCACCTCATGTAGCATGCTACACCAGCATAAAACCCTCATGTAGACTTCTAGTTCAAGCTAAAATGACTCTTATGACATCATGTAGGTTGCTCAACCAGCCAAAATACCTCATGTACATGTCCTGACTAGCTAAATCCCCTCATTGTAAAGCTCTGGCCAGCTAAAATCTCTCATTCTCTTGCTCCCTTGGAGCCAAAATCCCTCACCTTTGTGTATTTAAGGAGGCTCTCCTCCCAGTTGTTTTTCCCCCGAGTTTAGTACCCACAAATCACATACCCCCTACCATTACATACGATACCATTAACATTACATACTGTAACAACCTTTACAACACCCTATAACAACCCGTATAACACCCTATAACAACCCTTACACTTGTAATACACACTAAACTCACTCTCATACTCTCAAAGCCTCTTTTCTCATACAATTATATTGCGATCAAACAACTTATTCTCGAACCAACCACCCCTATCACTTGATTAAAACTTGCCAAGCTGAGCTTGGTGGGTCTTGTTATCTGATAGTACTGAAGGGCAGAGCTTGCAACTCCACCATACCCTTCAACATTCAGCAAAAGGGTTCTCACAACCACTTTTGAGTCTTACACCGCCAGACTAACCCAAATTGGAAAACCAAAGAACTAAGTCTGTCTGGATCCTTGATTCACCTCTCCCTTTCAATGATTTATCTCAGTTCTTGATTCTGGATGATTTATAACATTTTCTCACTTGGTGGATGTTTCATTAGAGCATTACTTACTGGTCTTTGTGTTTCCGGTACCAACGGCCAATAAAATTACCCCCACAGAGGAAGAAAGAAGGATAAAGTGATCTGATACGTTGGAGTGAAAAGACGGGCACCAGCGTCCAACAAAGCCAGAACCTGATCAGCCGGCTCAGCTCATCAGCCAAGGAGAACTCCCCATTCACATGCTCTCGAGACCTCCAGCATAACTGTTTTCTGCTATTGTTATTTTTATACCACTCTGTGATCAGTTCCTCATCCTGTGCTTTTTAACATTTTTGACGGTAACAGCTGTGTCTATCATTCATAATCCATGTTGATTTTGATGTACAGCCCCTTGACATAAAAAATGGAACCCTTTAATTGGAGTCTAGAGGTTAAACCAATGACATGAAATTTATGCAGTCTGGTGAAACTGTAGAAAATAAGTTCCAAAGAATGATTCTGAAAAGTTGGAGAGAAATTTTTTTTGTAAAATTGTTGTAGAATTTTTCTCATTAGGGGGTACAGTGCGCATCACCTCTTCTCAACTACCCCGAGGAGGGTGTTCCAAATTTTTCAAAATGGGAGTTGAATTTTTTTGAATTTTTTCACTTTTTTTCAATGCCATTTTGTTTTTTTTTTCTTTGAATTTGACTTTTTTTTGAGATTTTTGTCCATACAAATCAGCAGACGAGACACAATCAGAAAAAAGCCATGTACAAAAACCAAAATGCTTGCAACAGCCAAAGCTCCAGCCAATTGAAATCATTGACGAGATCTAATTGTTGCATTCCAAGGGCTGCAATGATGGATGTTTCAATTATGACTGCAAGTTAGCTGGACAACTGGCACTGAGTTTTCCTATTTTTTTCTCCTTCTTCCCTCAATATCATGTATTTAGATTGTCTATGTGCATAATACATACCATATAAATACATATTGCATACCCACTAGGCCATAGTATGGCCTTTTTCCATGGGTGTTCCAAATTTTGAATTTGAAAATTTCAAACTTTTTTGTCTTGCATGCTACACAGTCTTGCTTTATATTTTTGAGTTCCACTACTTCTGTAGAGCTCAAATATGCATTGTTTACACATGTAGCATGGATGGTG